TATCTGTCCTCAAGAGTGTTTGAAAAATTTGTTTTGAAAGTTTTTGAAAGTGTAAGGTGTGAAAAGTATTTTGTTTATTTTTGAAAAGAGCAAGTACCCATGATTCATCTACCTACCCTAAGGAATTAAGCTGTGTAAGTGTCCTTTAGGTAGTGCCATCCCACCATTGAGAGGTAGGTAGCACCACCGTTGGAGGTGTTCGGGTCAATTCGATTTTAGGGACAGTGTGGTCACCGAAGCAACAGTTGGGACACCTTAGAAGTAACCCTAATGTCCTAGATCCTTTTTAATCCGAGGCAACTGTTTCGAGGCAACTGGATCTTTGGACTAAGGGTGACCTCTAAAACGTCCTATACTTGATGACCACGTTTCGAAGGCAACGAGTGAGGCGTACCCTAGAAGTGGTGTGTGTATTGTGTGTTGTATTCAGTTAATGTTTGTCTTGTTATTTGTGAGCTACGGGTTGTTTTTATTTACATACATTCTTTCATGCAAGTTTTAGCAGTTAAGGGGGTGCGGAAAATAAATTGCGGAAAAATAAATCCTACGCTATTACAAGGCGCGGGTCTATACATCGCCAAAAATTACAAAGACCCATTTTTTTGGTAAATAAGTACGGAAATTAAATAAAGCGATAAACCTATTTAACTATTACATTCTTGAAGGCAATTACATAATAATCAAATAAAGTAAATGCGCGCGAATAAATTAATCGGGAATGTCTTAAGGGTGTTGACCCTTTTTTAGAATAGAATTGAATTTTTTTGTCCTTTTTTGTGATTAAATGAAATTAAAATTAATGACTAATTAGTTAATTTATTAAAAGAAAATATTTTTGTATTTTTATGTTTTTAATGAAATAAAATAAAAGGAAATAAAATTAAAAGTTAATAAACCTAATTCTAAATTTATTTTAGTTATTAAGAAGAAAAAAAGGGTTAAAGTTGCCTAATTAAAACTAATTCAATTTATTAGTATTTATTTACAAAATAACATGAAATTAATAATAATACTAATATTAGTTCTTTTTTGGTTTTTTTTTATAAAAAAAATTAATTGGTTAATTTTGGTGGTAATAATAATAATTAGTTAAAAGAAAATAAAATAAAATAAAAAAGGAAAAGAAAATAAAATATGAAAGAACCATGGGGGGTTTGGGTCTTTTTTGGAGGTTTATTGTTAAATTTTTAGCCCATTTGCACAAAGCCCGTTGACTTTCTGGATTGCCAAGAATGCTTGTTGACTGAGAGCATGGTGCTCCTCACCTCTTGGCCCTTGGATGGACGCTTGGGACACTTGGCATGCTGAATGCTTGAGGGCACACGGTGGAACATGCTAGCAAGCCTGCACACAATTACATGAAGCAAAATATTATGGAAATTATGGGGGACCTGGGATAACTTACAGCGTGGTATGATGGACCTTAGGACTTGGCAAGGGTTTCTTTAGCTTCAGAGTATGGCAAAGAAGAGAGTCACGTTCTCCTTTTGGCCTGAAAATACTTGCAACACTCCTTTTGATCTCACACTTTTTTTGACACTTTTTGGATTTTGCTCTGGCCGTTTGTGCATACTCTATCCTTTGAATGAGGTTGGGAAGGCTTGTATATATAGTAATGAGTGAGAATAAGTCACATTTAGGAGCCTTTAACCATTGCAATTATGCTTGAGATTTTGCCATAACCTCCATTAAAGCAACTTGCCATTCTTGTCAAAATTTGAATTTCTTGCTTGGAATAGGCCTTGCACGAATTTGGAAGGTGAATGATGGTGTATCAAAGCTATTCAAACTCAAAGATATCCCTCCATTAACTTTCTTGATTTTTATTTGAATTTTAAAGATTTAAAATGATTTAAATCAAATAAAATTAAATAAAAATGGAAAAATTAATTTTTAATCTTGAAATAAATTGTGGGACACGTGGGAAGCATGGCCAAGCTGAACCAAGTGGAAAAAGTGGGCCCCTTTTGTCAAAAATGAAGTTTCAAGGATAATTGACTTTGGCCATTTCACAAAAATTTCCCAACTTCTCCAATGCATATCTTGCTCAATTTTGAAGCTATGAACATGTTCTTGGACATTTTGGAAAGGTCTTGAAGTTCTCTAACCAATGCCTTTGGTCCCATGTCATTTTGATTTACCAATCTCAAGTTATGGTCTTTGACTTAAAGTACCTTTTGGTTGACTTTTGAAAATGACCTATAATGTTGAAATTAATAACTTTTTCTGAGAGCATTTCTTGGACTTGGAATGTGAAGATGAGTTGTAGGAAATGTCTTCCCCTTAAAGATTATCATTGGATGGGATTTTTCTGATGAACCATGAAAAAGTTATGTCTTGGTCAAGTTACAGTTGACTTTTCAGCTGTTCAAAAATAGAAACTTTTGCATCTTGAGACTTTTTGAGCCAGGCTTGTGGAATCATGATCAAGAATTGATCAAATGATGATTGTGGCTTCAAAATGAGATGTTGACCAAAATTTTTGACTTTTGACTTCCAAATGACCATTTTGCCCCTACAGTTGACTGTTGAGCATATGGGACTTTAACTGTGCAACTTGACCTTTGTGAGCCTTGAAACTTGACATGTAGGTGCTTGACAATGTATATGAGCATATGGGACTTGATTGAGCCCTTGAAAACCTCAGCTTCCTTGCAAGAACCAAAACCCTAATTTTGCCTGCCTTAGGAGGATGGTTGACTGTGTAGCCCTTGAATAGATTTTGAGCCATTTGGGGTGATGCTTGTCAAATATTGAAGAATATGGGAGGGCAAATTTTGGGGTACAACATCGACTGATCTTGCTTTTCTTGGAAATCGTAGAACATTGGTCCTCACAGGGAGGAGTAGATTACACTTCTTGATTAGCGATGGTTGTAGCTTCTCCAACGGCGGGCGGCGGCCTGGTTGTCACAGCGATGGGCTTCAGGACTCTTACCATCGATGTCTCCGCATGGGAGAGTGTGAATGATGGTCCTTCTCCAATGCTCCGATCCTTTTATTTTATTGGTAGATCAGGCTTTTGGTATGATTAAGCTCCGCGAGTAGGACCGCCATGATCAGATTAATGTTGGGTGGCACCGAGATCGATTGAAATGTCTCAGGTGTCTTCTCTAGAGCTTCCCGGACTTTGATGCTTTCGACATACTAGACGTCATTGTCGGTGGCATTGTCAGAGGAGGGAAAGCGGTGCACTCGTTCCTCCTGGATGGAGTGATTTCCTTAGAAAGTGGTATTTTGTTGTTGTTGTTGTTAGTGTTACGGACGAGAGAGATGATGGTTTTGTGATCATCGTGAAAGGATGCGTCTTTTCCGGCCATGATCGGTTTTTAAGATTTTTTGCTTTGATATTTTGGTTTCAGGGAAAAAAAGATGGGGAAAATAGTTTCCCACACACGATGCCACTGATCTTACCGGTGATTAGAAAGTTTGAGTGGTAAGCAAGACTACGACCAACAGAGGTGTGAGTGTATCTACAGACACTCTAGTGCTTAAGTCAGTTCGGTAGTGAGGTAGTGAGAAAGGGTTAAGAATTGAATAATTGACCCTCCTGTACAGGAGGGTTTTTATAGTGTGCCCCAGCGCTGGACTAATGATCTTCGTTGTGAGCTAAATGTTCAAGCCCACAACGAATAACTTCTAGGATTCCTATGTGAAAGTAGGGATGACCAGCATGTGATAATTGTCCTAGGTCAACTGCTTCTACAATTCATGGATCATGGATGAACTTACCCATTATAAAAGGCAAGACGATTTCACCAGTCACACAAAGCGTGAGGATGCAGTTGGTGACGTGTCCTCGAGTGAGGAACATGTGGGGGAATGCGTTCTCCATTGGTCCTAACAAATTAAGCCAGTAATTTGAATCGTCCTCGATGTGGTCTTGGATTTGGTCGTGCTCGATGGTGGGTCAACCAGAGACCCAGTCATATAATTTCAAATTTGAAAATTATAATTTTCGTCAACATCATTCATGTTTATTGTTGATATAGAGAAAATAATATCATTACAGACATATAAATAATCCAAACTACAGAATGCCAAATAATGACAAAACCACTGAGGCATATCGTACGTCCTAAGTAATATCTATTATTAATATATAAGCTTTAAAGTACCTGAAAATTCACTAAATGCCCTCTGATTATATTTAATTATTTATCTAATTTCTAAAGGCACGTTAGTCTTTTTGATGTACTCCTATCACCATATTATTTTGACATTTAATGTCGTTGATGTGTCAGCCCAATAGATTTTTCCCATTGTTTTTAATTTTTATTATATATATATATATATATATATATATATATATATATATATATATATATATATATATATATATTATTATAATTATTATAATATTATAATTATCTATTATAATGTTAATAATTTTTTAATAACACTTATAGCGCAATAGTTATCTTGCAGGAGACGAGTCATTATTCAACCCTTCTTCTGTTTCCAATGATGCAGTAAAGTTTGCATCTTCCAAAATCACAACTCTCAACAATGGATAACTCCACCCTTACAACTTTCGTTTTCAAGCGACTCAGCCATAAATATGCAATGTATTTCTTCAAAACCATAGTATATCCTTTCCCCAATCTCCAGGTAGTGAATATCCAATTGTTCTTAATATTCAGGTAGTGAACACAACATGTATTACACATTTCTTTATACTTGATTTTGTTTCTGTCATAAATACATGCACATTCAACCCCAAATCCCTGGCTTTTGTTATCTTAAGATGATTCTTTCAACCCCAATTTGAAGGATTAGGTTAAATTCATGTTGATTGATCTGTAAATTGCAGAACGTGGTTAAAGAGTATTTGGATGCGAGTCATTCGAAGATTGGGGGTTTCTGTTTAGGGTTTAGGATACGGTTCTTTTATCCTGATGAGAGCAAATGGTTTCATGTTGTTGTTATAATTTTTTCTATTGTTTCAACTTTTCATCCATCTAATTTTTTCGTGTTGTTGTTACAGGATACATCAACTCTATGGCTCGCCCAATTGAAGCTGTGAAGGATATTAATAATTCAAAGGGTTTATTGAAGATTGCTGTTAGGTGCAAGCATTTGTGGACTGTGACGAGTGCATCAAAAAAGGAACACATCGAGATGATTTTGGTTGATTCTGAGGTATTTTATTAGTCTGGCCGTTATGAATTTGTATTTGCAATATTAGTGTCAGTAAAAATAACTTTGTATGTTCGTTTATTATAGTTAGATATGATTCAAGTCATTGTGCAATCCTTCTTGGTTTCAAAATTCAAGGAGCAACTCGCGGTTGGATGTTCATATGTTATGCAGAATTTCAAAGTGTCAAATAATGATTTCTCTTTTAAGTCGACTAATCATAGTTTCAAGTTGGTGTTCTGTGGCTCAACTTCTGTTAAGAAGGCTGAACTTCCTGATATTCCTATGAATTAGCTGAACATTCTTCATTTGGATGCCATTGTTGAAGGCAAATTCCAGTCTAATATTTTGGTTGGTATGTTATTAGTGGATTTTAGTTTAATTCATAGAATATTTGTTTTCCAACGTCTATGAATCTATATAGTATATAATACATGAATTATTGTAGATATTCTTGGAGGAGTGACCGAGATTTCTCAAACTCAAATCAATGCTGATAACAAAAAGAGAAAGGTTGTGTTTTCAATTACTGATAATAGGTATGCTTCATGTTATTTTTTGTATAATATTATTACATTAACTTAAGCAACATCATAATATTAATAATGTTAATATGTTTGACAAAGAAGCAGATCTGAAGTTCAATGTACTCTTTGGGGTCAACTTGCCATACAATTTCACAATTATTATAAAAGTTATAAGGAAGATGGAAGTATAATTGTTTTTCTTATTAATGCCAGGATTAAGGAGGCTCAAGGTTTGACACATACAAATTTTGAGTTTTTTCTCCAAATGTGAATCCAGATTGATGTAACATGAAATTTAATCCTTGCTTCAATAGAGCTGTATGTTCTAAAGAATGACTAAAACTTGCAGGAGGGTTTCCTTCGAACATCTCTAACGCTTGGAATGGCACAAAGTTTCTAATTAATGATGTTACCCTTGATGTAGTTATCAAGCTCAGAGACAGGTGCTGACTGATATCATTTTATTTATCGTGTTGTATAATATGTTTTTGTTATACTAGTTATGAACATTTGTCATATATTTCATGCAGTCTGCAGCCTGAATTTCCATTATTTTCTTCATCAAGTCTTCAAGTGGACACAACACAAAACTTATACTATTCTGATTTCGATAAGCTTGTTTGGAAGGAAGAAATTCTAAGTCTTGCTGAAATAACAACTCTGCAACACGTAATACATGTTTCATTGTATAGTGAAATTTTGATTATACATCATATCTAACTAACTATGGGTTTCATTGTGATATCAGGAGACTACATGTGTTACTGTTGCGACTTTGGACAAATTTGAGGATGGACAGTCAAGCCGGTATTATGATGGATGTGTTGGTTGCAAAAAAGTGTGTCACTACAGGATGGAAAGCTGGTATGTTATTCCAAACACATTAGCCCAACACCCGTACCAAGGTATTGTCTGTATCTATATATACGATTCATGTTGTTCAATTTTTGGTGGCATTACAATCATGTTTTGTGATTATCTTATAGATATAAACTTGAAGTCTTGGTTGTTGACGGTAAATACAAGGCCATATTCATTTTTTGGGACGGAGATTGCGTCAAGTTGATTGGGAAGTCCGCTCTTCAAATGAAAAGTGAATTGATAGAGGTATACAGTGACACCTTATTAAGTTTGATTCTTTTTTAAAAACTGTGTAATAGAGTTCGTTGTGTTTATGTAGGCCGGTGAAGATGATCCTCTTGAATTCCCTTATGCACTTGATGCAATTCTAAAGTAGGAATTGGCCATTAGGGAAGTTTTTCAGCCTAACAAAGGTAGACTTTCTGTCATTAGTTACAAAATTGATGAAGATTTCCGTAAGAGAGTCAGAGGGAGTTTCAGCTCGGAAGAGGTAATCTTAGTGTAAACACAAAATATCATTGTTGATCACTACGTATTTATTTAGACTGATATGATTTTGTATTTGGCAGCCTACTTCAAAGCTTCTACCAACTGAGCCTTCATCCTAAGATGAATCAATATCCTGGAACGTAAGTTATTAATTCAAACTCGAGCCCTCTATATAAAACATATATCTACACGCATTGTCTAATGCTGATATATTATATCCACATTGCCAGCAGGAACCTTTATCCGCTGGTGCTGATTATGACCATACTGTTAGAAATTCAACCCTGACTCCATCAAAAAGAACTTTACCTGATGTTGTTGAAGATATTGAGAGTGTCCAACTTTCTGCAACCAAGTTAGTTAAGGATATAAAGAAGGAGAAGTATCTATATTCACATTTATGTTATTTTAAGTTATTGTTATATTTGAAGAAACCAATCTGATTGTTTGTAGTTTTTTTCCTTGAATACTTTGGATTTGTTTTAAAAGTTTTTAGTTTGATCTCTTTAATATCCTTTGTGATACGGTGGGAGAACTGACTATGGTTTTGCGTTTGTTTTCGCAAATGTTTCGGTTGAGCAAGAGTCGCCACCGACTTTTTATTTTATCCTAAGGAAAGGTTTAAAAAGCACAACAAAAACCTTTTGAGATGTTTTCTTGGGTTCGGGGAGTAGATTATAGAAAGGGAAGGTATTAGCACCCTTTCTATCCATGGTTATCCACGGGCTCTTAGTTACTTGCTTATATCAACTTGCCTTATTTTTCAATTGTTTGAAATGGTGCTTTGTGTGTGTGGGTTTGAAAATGTTTTGAAAAGAAGCCAATGTGGTGGCAACCTTTGTAATGATCCATGTTGGGATGTATACAAAGATGTATGTCTTTTGAAAAGGTTTTCATTTGTTTTTGAAAATTTGTTTTGAAAGTGTTGTGAGGTGTGGTTTTAGAAAATAGGCAAGTGTTTTGTTTTTGCAAGTTTGATTCAAGTAACTAAGAGGTTATCTACTCCTAAATTTCTCAAAGATTATTGCTATGTTTTAACCCTTTTAACAAGTTTGTTCCACCATTGTATTTGGTGGACAATCTCATGTCAGGATGTGAAAGGGACGGGCGCGGGTCGTCGTTTAGACCATAATTGCAATGGTGCCAAGTATCTTTGGGCAATTTTCTTTAAGGGACTTGATCATTTGTTTAGGCAACCTTTTGAAAGCGTCATCGAGGGACTATGATCATTTGATTTGTGTTTGTTTTGCCCAAAGAGACCTAACATGCGATATGGCCCATTTATTGAAGGCAACAAGTGGAATACCCTAGGGGTGCAAGTGTGATAAGTGTTGTCTATTTTCATGCTTGTTTATCTTGAAATTAGGTCAAACTATTTTTGTCGTTTTCAATTCACATACAAAACCTAATTCTAACATGGTATAATTAGAAAGCAATAAAGTGCGAAAAATAAATTTACTAAGCTATTACAACACAATATATGGGAAAGGGGGTACAAATGTTCAAATGGGGATTTTGACAAGGAATTTAAACCTAAACTATTACATCAATATTGAATTATTTACAAGATAATTTAATTGCATAAATTAAATAAAATAAGAACAAATATACAAGATGCAAAAAATGGTTTTTTGTATGTATGGAAAAAGTATTTTTACATGTCAAAATAAACAAAAATAAAAGTATTATTTTTTGGAGTTTTTTCATGTTTAGGGCAAAACCCTAATTTTCTTAAATAAAATGTATTATTCATTTATTTATGCATAATATTTATTTATTACAAAAAAAAAAAATAAAAAAAATGAAGTATATTTGTGAAAAGGGTATTTTTATATTAAATATTTAGCAAGAAAATAAAAGTGTGTATATTTTGTAATTTAACCTAAATATATTAATATATATATATATATATATATATATATATATATATATATATATATATATATATATATATATATATATATATATATATATATATATATATATATATATATATATATATATATATATATATATATATATATATATATATATATATATATATATATATATATATATATATATATATATATATATATATATATATATATATATATATATATATATATGTATTATTTTCTAAATATGTATTATATATACAAAATAATAATATTTAATATTTATAAAAAAAAGGTATTTTTTATATAAAATATTTTCAGAAGATAAAATGAAAATAAAAATGTATTTGCACTATTTTAACATTTTTTAAATAAAAGTATATCTTATTTATTTATTTATGTTCAAAAAAACTAATCTAAACAAATAAGTATCTAATAAATGGGAAAATGGTGAGAAAAATATTTTTTATATTTTTAATATCATAAGAAAAAATAAATAAGTCAAACCAAAAAAGAAAAAGTCAAAAAAAACACTAAAATAAACAAAATGGGCTCAGGGGGTGCAGAAGTAAAAATATGGTGCAAAAAGAAATGTCAAACAGGCCCAGCCCAGAACCAGGTCATCTTCAACCTCAGAACATCTTTTGTTCAAGCAAACACGCGTTTCCTATCTCCCAATTCCTGGACTTTTAAGCAAAACTTTCAACATGAAAAATGTAGAGCATGAGAAGACGAATCCAGGGATATAAAGAACTTGACTTAACTCTCTAAGATGAGGGAGAATTTCTTCTCCCCCAATTCCTGACCTAGTTTTTCATCAATGTTCAGACTCAAAATTCTCTAAGCATACATAATATAAATGAAATCTAATCACATGGGCATGTTCAGGGCTATGATTGTGACATGTTTCCTTCACAAACCTAAAGCTAACAATGCCTATACTGAGAGATAGAACTTCATGAATATACCTGTTCAGTTGGAATTGTGCCTTGCAATGGAGGAGCTTTCAGGGCAAGATGATGATTTGTACAGCTTCCTTGAAGTGTGAGGATGCTATTCCAAGTTTTACTTTGTCCTGAAACCTCTTGAATCGTGCTAGAGAACTTCAACTGCAAAACAAGAAAATGAAAATGGTGAAGTGTCCTGGGAGTGTTACAGGTCGTGTCTTAGGTTTTGGTTAGCTTGCATTGATGGTAGGGAAGGTGTTTGAACTGGTTTGGGCAAGAATGTATGAAAGGATTGAGCTAGGGAACTCAATCTGCAGCAAGCCCTGTTTTTGTGCAGTTCAAAGGTGATTCTGAGTTTGTGAAGGTATTGAGGATCTTAGGGTCGTGCTTCAGCTTAGGATGAATGTTTGGAATGTGTTTGATAACTTTCTCTAAGCCTTGGTTCACTGATATGAGAGTTGGTATATGTTATGATGTGTTTCTTGAACTTTAAGCAAGCAATGGTCAAGTTGTGTTCTAGACAGGTAGAGGCCCCCTAAACATGCTGCAAAACTTCTCCTTGATCAGTGTGATTAACTCATAAACTTGTGCCAATTAGATTTCCTTTGTACCTTCTTGATTTGCTTTAGACATAAAGTGTAACTTTTGCAAAAATGGATATAATGCTTTTTCCAATTTGGGATTAATCCTTCATGCAATGCTTGAACACATAGAACATGGTCTTGGCACAATGAGTTTGCATTAAATTTATGAGTGTTGAATGGTTTAGAGGCCTGTAATCAAGTTGCATGCTGATTTGAGAAATTTGCACAAGTTATGAACATGGAAATTGGTCAATTCAAAAGTGAGTTTTTGCCATATTGCAAAATTCGATTCTCTCAAGTCATGAGGTTGTTTGATGAGTTCTTGAACATTTTTGAAAGCTTGGAATGTGTACTACAATCCATCTTTGAAGTGCAAATTGAAATTCCAAGTGGAAGTGTATGGAAAATGGTCTTGAAGTTAGGTAAAAAACTTGCCTAAAATAGGTCAAATTTTCACTAAGTTAAGAATGGTTTGGTACCCTTGTTCCAAAAATTGTAACTTGAGATACAAGCCTCTTTTGGGAAAACTTTGTGAAACAAAGTTGTAGATTATGCAATAGGCTACAACTTTCATGTTTTGACTTTTTCTTGAATCCAAATGAATCTTGGTGAGAAAGTGGGGCAAAGTTGGGGAAAAATTAGGGTTTTTCATAACTTAGAAAAATTCTAAGTTATGAAAAATTCTCATTTCAAACCCTAATTTGCAATTTTTGATTTCTTGAGGGACAAGTTTCATGATTTGACATTTTTTAATGAAAAATGAATCTTGACACTTGATTTTGACCAAAAAGTCAAAGTTTGACTTTTCAGTATACAGTCAAAATTGATCAATTGACTGAGAAATTCAACTGTCAATCTTGTGTATTTGGTATCTTTTGAACTTGTTGAGCATGTCAAGATAATTCCATGGGGTCCTTGAGTCCATATGTGAGCTTGGTTTTCCATTGGCTAAGTCAAACAGTCAAAAATTGCCTCTGTGCAGTCAAAACCCTAAAAATGACCATTTTGCCCTTTAGATGATCTGATCAAATTTCTTGTGGAATTGTGATCCAAACTTGATCAAATGGTCCATGTGAGTTCATAATGTTGATGTGGGTCAATTTTCATGAGATTTGACTGTCAATTGGCCACAGTTGACTTTTTCCCCAATACAGTTGATTTCTAGGTCAACTGTCCAACTGACTGGGCAAAATTTGGAATCAAGACTTGAAACTTGGTATGGATAAACTTGGGAGTCCAACATGAAGCATGAAAGTCATCTTAGGCATTTTAGGTCAAAATATCTTTGTGCAAACACAAACCCTAATTTGGGTCAACAGTGCAAGGAGAAGTCTTGAGTAGAGGAAACCTTAACTGGGTCTTGATCTTCAAGGGTCTTGTGATGAGAAAATGTTTGAGGAAATGGGAGGGCAAATTTTGGGGTACAACAGTTCCCCCTATTCAATCTTCTTGAACCTGAAGAGTTAGATTGGCAAGTTT